TGACTCCACAGACCCCAAGCACCAGGAGATGAGCAGCGTCACCCTCGCAGCACCCCTGGCCCTGCCTTGGCTGCCCCTTTGGGCTGGAAATGGGAGCCTGCTGCGGTTTTTGGGTGGAATTCAGGGGGAGCAGGGGCACTGGCACTCACTGGGCAGCGGGGTGAACTCCACAGCAGACAGGCTGGTGATCCTGCTGGTGTCCAGCTCCACACGGTGATATTCATAGATTGTCCTGCGCCGGGACTCTGCAACAGAGCCTGGGCTTCAGACACGGCACAAACCCCCCCTGCCCTCCCCAGCCCGCTCGGGGGGACCCCCCGAAGGGCAAAGGTGGCCCCAGGTGTGGGGCTGTTCCCTTGGGGGGCTGCAGGGGACACCAGCACGGGGTGAGCTGATCCCTGGGGACACCAGGGCTGGGTGAGCTGATCCCTGGGGACACCAGGACAGGGTGAGCTGATCCTTGGGGACACCAGGACAGGGTGAGCTGATCCTTGGGGACACCAGGGTGGGGGTGAGCTGATCCCTGGGGACACCGGGACAGGGTGAGCTGATCCTTGGGGACACCAGGGCTGGGTGATCTTATCCTTGGGGACACCGGGACAGGGTGAGCTGATCCCTGGGGACACCAGGACAGATTCCCACAGATTCCCTGTCCCATTCTGCTCGCAGCTCTCCCAGCCCCTGTGTCCGAGCCCAGGCTCCGGGCAGGGCCGGGCTCCAGCCCCGCTCCCAAACAAACTCCGAGCAAACATCGCTGGGCTCTGACTCACGGCCGGAGCCTCCCCGGAGCTCCTGCAGCCGCTTCCACCCCCCCCCAAAAAAAAAAAAAAAAAAATCTCCTCCTGCTCTTCCCCACCTCCCTCGGGTGCTCCCCCTTCACCCCGGGCTCTGTCCCGTGTCCAGGGTGGTGACACAGCCCGGGAATGTGAGGATGAGGAGCTCGAGCATCTTCCTCTCCTCTCCATCCCCCTGCCCGTTCCTGCATCTCCTCTGCCCTCACATCCCCCGGGCAGGGCTCGGGAATTCTGCGGGGATGGAGGGAGAGGCTCGAGGAGCAGGAGGAGCCGCCCAGCCCGGCCGGGCTCGGACACAAAGCACGGGAACGGGAATAAACCAGACGGCTCCAGGAAAAAAAAAAAAAAAAACAAAAAAACAAACAGGGAAAAGCCGGGAGGGAGGAGCGGGGTTGGAGCGTGACCAGAGAGGCTGGGAGGGATTTTTTGGGGAGTCCTGCAGGTCGGGGCACACGGGGAATAAGGAATAAGGACATGGATAAGGACATGAGGACACGGATGTGAGCACGGGGGCACAGCCCTGACACGCACTGGGGCAGCTGCAGGACCCCCAAAATTCCCATCCCTGTGGGAATGGGGCACCCTGAACCCCCCCGAGCCTCCTGGACATCCACAGCTTCCTCTGGAGTCGAAGAAAAATTGAATTTTTTCTCCTCTTCCTCATCATGGGAGTCAGGGAAGAGCTCGGCTGCTCATGGAGGCTCTGGATGGGGCAAAGTTTCAGCCCGAGCACGAGGCTGAGGGATGGTCTTGGGAGATGCATCCCAAAAAGGGATCCCTAAAAGAGAATCACTAAAAGGGAATCCCAAAAAAATGAATCCCTAAAAGAGATCCCTAAAAGGGAATCCCAAAAAGAGACCCCTAAAAGAGATCCCTAAAAGGGAATCCCAAAAAAATGAATCCCTAAAAGAGATGCCTAAAAGGGAATCACTAAAAGGGGACCCCAAAAAGGGACCCCAAAAAGGGACCCCAAAAAGGGACCCCAAAAAGGGACCCCAAAAAGGGACCCCAAAAAGGGACCCCAAAAAGGGACATGAGGGGCAGGCAGACCCCACACAGCTCCCCACACTCCCTGGGAACCCAAGCAGGGCATCCCCACATCCTGAAACCCC